TCACTCATTCAAGGCGATGTGCGGCCCCCGCCTCATAGCGGCAGCGAGTCACCTGATGCCCCAACACGGAAAAGCTCGCGAAGGTGAGGAGTCACTTGATGCCCCTGTGCGGAAAAGCGTGCAAAGGTGAGGAGTCCCGATGCCCCGGCGTGCGTCCTATCAGCCTTCCAGATTTTGCTGGACTATTACGTCAGTTGTTAACGCCCCTACGAAGTGGTGTTCAACTAGGTCGTATAGCCATTCACAGTCTGTAGTGACAGGTGCAGATGCCGCTGCCCACATGGGTTAAAAAGCGCGCCAAAGCTATGAGCCACATTATGCTGAGGCACGCTTTCCAGCAGCAGACCACGAGATCGAGGTCTCCTTTGGCGCACGGCTCATCGCAGTGCAGGGACACCAGGCCCTCAGCCACTACCGCGACTGCTGCTGCCCCTCGCCAGGACCCGGATGTGCGGGGGGAAAAAAAACGGTGTAAAGGGACCCGGGAAGAGGCGCCACGGCAAGCTGAGGAGCCCACGTCGTGACTCCCGCCCGCTGTCAGCTGCCAAGCCGTCGTCCTGACAGCCCAGAGAGGAGGGAAGAGTGCGCGATCGGCCCAACCCCCAAGCTGTCTCAAATTTGTGTTTTATGAGTGTGTGATCATTAAAAAATGCATACATTTGCACAAAAGAGCTCTTTCCTCTTCACTCAGTTAATGTAGCGCCGCTCGCCCCACCTCAGAGCGGTGCAGAGCCGCTGCCCACACAGGTTATAGCCGCGCAGCACTCGCCGGCGCATCCAACAACCAAGCCGCTATGTCAGTTCCTGAGCACGTGGAAAACTATTCCGGAAATCTCACACTGGTTACTCGGTGTGATAGAGCATGGGTACGCCCTTCAATTCAGATGCAGACCACCCCGTTTCAATGGCGTGGTGCAGTCTCTAACATTGCCTCGAAATGCCCTGGTTCTGAGACCCTGCTCGAAAAAAAGAGCGATAGAATGAGACCCTGTGAGCGAGCTGGAGAGCGGGTTTTACAGCTGCCATTCTGTGGTGCCCAAGAGAGATGGAGGACTCCGCCCGATTCTAGATCTCAGGCCCATCAACAGAGCGCTCTGCAAGTGTACGTTCAGGATGATAACGCTGAAACAGATCCAGGCGCCAATTCGCCCCGGGGACTGGTTGCGTCCGTGAATTTAAAGGACGCGTACTTTCACATCCAGATAGCACCGCATCACAGACGCTTTCTGAGATTTGCTTTCGAGGGCACAGCGTACCAGTACTCTGTTCTCCCAGTTGGGCTGGCTTTGGCCCCGCTCACTTTCTCGAAGTGCATGGACGCAGCCCTCGCCCTCCTCAGAGCCAGCGGGATGCACGTTCTCAATTATTTGGATGACTGCTTGATCTTAGCTCAGTCATGGGACACACTATAGCCAGCCATATAGACAAACTGCTTCGCCACTTGGAGTTCTTGTGGCTATGTGTGAATGTGCATAAGAGCATTCTCGCCCCGAGTCAGGCTATAACGTATCTGAGAGTGTGCTTCGACTCGGTGGAGATGCGCGCTCGGCAGCCATTGCATTTTGTCTTCCCTGCGCCATTTCAGACTGGGTTGCTCTGTTCACTTGAAGGAATTTCAGAGGCTGCTGGGACTCATGGCAGCGGCATCAGCGGTATGTAATCTGGATTTACTACACACACACCCGCTGCAGTTATGGCTGAAATCTCGAGTCCCTTGGACGGCGTGGACTTCGGACCGTTTGCGCATCGCGGTCTCCCGCAGCTGCATCAAAGCTCTGAGGCCGTGGCGCAAAGATCTCTTCAGCCAGGGGGATTCCCCTGGGCTTGGTGACGTCACGTGTCATGGTCACGACGGATGCATCAACTCGTGGATGGGGAGCAGTGCGCGAGGGCATGCCGGCTTCAGGGCTGTGGTCAGAACCTCAGAGCCGGTAGCACTTAAACCGCTTGGAACTGGAAGCAGTGTTCTTAGCTCTAAAGGATTTTCGGCCGCAGCTGGAACAGTGACATGTACTGATTCGCACCGACAACATGTCTGTGGTTTCATACATAAATCACCAAGCAGGCGCACGATCCAAGGCTCTGTACAAGCAGGCAGCGAATCTCCTGCTATGGACGGACCGTCACTTTCTTTTCCATCAGAGCAGCGCACATCCCCGGTCTCCTGAACCGCGGGACAGAAATGCTTTTGAGGAAGAGGATTCCTCAAGGAGAGTGGAGGCTGCATCCCGAGTCAGTTCGGATGATTTGGACCCGCTAGGGGAGAGCGGAGGTGGATCTGTTCGCCATGAGCGAGAATGCGCGCTGCCCGCTGTTCTTCTCCCTGTCTTACTCCCGGCTGGAAGGGGACGCTCTGCCATCGCGCTGGCCAGTCTGTGGACGGCGATTGTATTTGCTTCGGATCCGGTGACTGCAGCGTCACTATCCGGCCGAGACCGGGCTACATGCCTAAATCAACCCCCTATAGAGCGCAGATTGTTTCGCTGTCTGCCCTGTCTTCTGAGTCATCGACCTCACGTGATGCGGGTGATGCGGATTCGGTGTGCCCCATCAGGGCTTTGAGTATTTTCATTGACCGTTCGGCCAGCTTTCGGCACTTTCGGCAACTTTTTGTGTGCTTGTGCGAAGGGATGGGCCGTGTAAAAAAGGAGGCTTTCCCACTGGATTGTGGACACTATCACAGCTGTTATACGAGCCAAGGTTTGGAATGTCCTTTAGACATTAGGGCCCACTCAACAAGAGCTATCGCCGCCTCCTGGGCGTGGTCGAGAGGTATGTCTATTCAGGATATATGCTTTGCAGCCGGCTGGTCTTCTCCAAATACCTTCGCCAGGTTTTACAATCTGGATGTTCGGTTCTTAGCCTCCCAAATGCTGTCGGTGAGTGGCTGATTCACATTTATGCTACCTCTTTTCATGTGTGTTTGCGGCCTCACACAGTAATTACTCTGCACAGCCCTATATGCTATTGTTGCTGTTGTCTGCCCTGTACTCAGTGCAGCTCCTGCTATTCAATGTCTAATTCGATTGGTATATGATCATCATGTTATGTGTTATACTGCTGCTTAACACAGTTATCTCTGTGCAGCCCCCCTCACAATACTGTGGTTGTTGTTGCTTCTGCCCTGTTTCTCAGCGCAGCATACGTTATCACTGACCGGATATGCAAATTTAGTATACCTGGGCTTTAGACACTCATTGGCTTTTCTCCACCTATCAGCTGCGAGCCCGTCTAGCAAGCGTCGCTATTGGTTGTGGGAATTGTGTGTTCTATCTTCGCTGAGTATGTGACTTGTAAAGCCTACAA